TGTTGTGACCGTACATAGTATTTTGCATTAGTTCGTTCTAAATTTGTAATCATTTATTATTTTGATTAATGTATGTATTTAATCTGTGACGCGGTGGTGCGTACTGTTATGACTGCGCAAGCACGATTCGGAAAATCCGATCGCGAAAGTGGCCGTCGCAGAGCTGTGTGGCCACAGTAATGCGCCGATAGTCGAAAAAACCAATCAAAATTGTCAGTGAACTACAAAATACAAAAATGTAAAGATTGTAACTACGTGCCAGCAAATTGTATAGCGTTTATTCGCCAATATGTTGGACACGATTACTTTGTTATTGTGAAATAAGTTATTATATTGTAAAGTACCTCAAAGTCGCACACCTAAGCGTTTTCTCAACACTAAGTATTAAGCAAATAGGAATAACTGTAATCTAAAGAAGTTACGACTTGGAGTAATACATGTTTCTAATGACTTACGATATATGTTTCGTTAACCAAACTTATTTTCTAAAAGTGTCTACCCATATCATCATCGGATCGGAAATTGTTGCCAGTTAACCCGACATCGGTAGCAAACAAACTCTCTTAAAAGAAACTACACACATCAAGTAAATTATACGCTTATCAAAAGGTAAGGCGAGACATTTCGCCAAGTTCTCGCGAGAAGAATAAAAAGGAAAGTCAGAATATCGCAACGGAATGGCTGGAAAAGTTGGTAATAGAGCGACATATTACAAGGGTCGTCGGCGGTACCGTTGCTTAGAGATAAAAATGAAATAATGATGAACGGATTGTTGACACTTCTACTTCTTCACTTCTAGGAGAGACCGAGAATAACGGAAGAGAAATACCCCCCTATGTCATATTGGTTTAGCTTCAGCTTTGATCGATTGATGATTGATTGATAAAAAAAGACAATATACTTTCAATGACCGTATGTCTAAGGCGATTAACACACTGCACCGCGGCCCGCGGCGGAGCGCGCCACGCGGCATCACGCGCGCGGTGGCGGAGACGCAGATCTGAGACAACGGGCGGTTTAATCTGCGCGGGGGCAGCGGTGTAGCGGCCCCGCGTCACTTAAAGTACTCGCTTCGCAGTTGATCGCCGAAGTGATTGTATATGTAGCCGAGATCCTTCTTTGACAAGAATGGTTAACAATACTGAACTCATTCAGGACGCTGCAGTCATACTGTCTAATTGGTTTTTGTTTACTCAAATAAAAAGACACCGAAGATATTGGATACATCCCTTTTTACGAACCAGATCGATAAATGGATAATTTCAGCTTCATTACAAAGATTTAAGAAAACATGAAGATAAATTTGGTCGATTTTCAATAGCAAATATAAATTTATCGACGTCGAGATCTATTGTAGAAAACTGAACATGTCCTTAAGCTTAAAAGTCTGCGCGGTAGTGCGGTGCGCACTATTTAATTATTATTAAATATAATTGTAATTTTCATCGTCATTTCATCATTTCATTTCAAAGTGAACGAAAAGTTATTGTGCAACTGGCAAATGTCCATAAAGTCCATAACGAAAACGATAGATGGCGAGGCTCCCCCAGAGCATAACTCATCTCTTTCCGATAGAGTTTTTTGTTTCGGCAACACGCAGTCGCATTGGGCCTAATCGCTGCTCAGATTGGAAGTTGGCTAATTGCGGTACTGGGTATATACGAGTGTTACATTCCCGTTATGATACATACAAAGTGCAATATACAAGCTACACAAATTACTACTAGACAAAGAGCAATTGCAATTAACGAAAGTCGACAACGGGACTGGTTAAGGTTTCTTTACTCGCGATATTCCTCAATGCATCACTGCAGAGCAGTCAAAGGGATAAAAACAACAGCCGATACTCGTTTTTAATCCTTAAAACCACTAAGTATGCGGCGAATGCCGTTGGAATCTCGGTAACTATGGTTTCAGCCGGTTTTATCTCGTTATGACCGGATCGAGAGCTTTTCACGGACCACGCTATTTGCAGTACGCTTCAAGTTAACTAGTATTGCGAAATGTGGTTTGAAAAACTTATTTTCGGAACTTCTATTTTTAAAAGTGGTTTTTCTACATCACATTAATCGTTAACAAGGAAACTGTCCCGAAAGATAAAAATAATGGCTTCAAAAATTTGTTTATTTGCTCAAATCTTACTAAATCATTTCACCTAAAAACGGCATAAAACAAAGTTTTGCACAAGTTAAAAATCACAAATTATAACAACTTTCAACTTTTTTTATGATACCAAGTGACAGGGCGAGCAAGTCGTGCGCCTGGTGATAAGCGACACGCCTGTCCATAATAGTTGCAGTGCCACTCAGAGCTTTATATCGCAAAGATTTGAGGGGCACTGCCATTGCGTCTGTCACCCTGACACATAAGTTCACAAGTAACATGTGCCTGTTTGTGCCATTTCACTAGCACCCTTAACCTTCAAAACCGGAACACAGTAATGCTGACATTACTGCTTCGCGGCAGAAATAGATAAGGTGGCAGTACTTCCCTGGACGAACTCTTTCACAAGGAGCTCTACTGCTACTAAATACAAAAAACTTTCAAACCGTTTCACACTATCAGTAAATGTAAAAACTGCCTAATTAGTTCTAAGTAGGCCAATTTGAACAGTTTTCATCCGGCTATAACCAGATCGGTTGATCTGTAGAGCATTTGAGAGACCGCGAACGCATTTGCGAAGCGCTTCATCCGCTCATTTCCTATTAGTTATGGTAAAGTTGAGTTATTTCTATTTATTACGGTTTTTGAGTGGTTTCGATGACAATGTTTCACTTCTCGTACAAATCTGAACAACATAAAACTTATTTACATTATTATTGAACGTACGTGACATTCAGAACGTACAAAAAGTAATTGACACAGTTACAAACAAGAAAATCGGTACAACACACAGCTCGTACAACTGACAGCCGACGGTTAACCGAATCTCGAGTGGCAAGGATGACGCGAAAGATGTAGTCTACGACAAGTTACAATTGACACTGTTGCGCGTTTTAGTCAAATGAGTGATTAAAAAGAGAGATTACAAAACAAACTTATGAAAGATAATATATATGTGCCTGTGTGTGTTGTTCGTTCATTGGCCTAAAGGTTAAACGCAAATGATCTTCGTACGTCAAATACGTCACGATAGTGGACAGAACGTGGGTGCACTGCATAATTAGCGCAAAAAAAAAACTCGACGTTACCAGGGAAAGAATTGGTTAATTAATTAAACGTAGAACCGAATGATAATTACTATGCCAATGGTCGCGTAAACAACGATCGTGTAACGAACACCTCGCGACAAACGAAGGTGAACACTGTGATAAAGAATTATTTGAGAGAAACCATCATCAACAATAACCGTTTATATGTCACACGTTTTGGGTACGGGTCTCTTCTATAAAGCGCCATTGGCAAGTTGGGGACTTCATGCGTTTCCCGAGAGTTGTTGAACTTCTTCGACATGCAGGTTTCACCACGATGGTTCCCTTCACCGTTAGCGAGAGAGTTAATGCCTCTAAACATTTACAAATGTAGAAATTAAAGCCATAGTTAATGTTGAGTTATCTACTGAGACACAACCGTTCCTTCACTGGACTACCATCGCTTTTACTCGCCTTTAAACTGTTCAATTAATCCGTAGTAAAGGACGGAGAATTAACGAGGAGTTGACTATATTTTGAATTTCATATGAAAATTAATTTTTCATGTAGGAAAAATTGTTTGAAATGAAGAGCAGAAGACACGTTGCACTTTACAGAACACCATTTCTTACACTCTACATAGCAAATCTTGTTTATGCAAAGGCCCGCAGTGGATTATGACAGGTTAATGTTCGTGATATGGAAGGAGATTTTATTTACCATTTCAATAAGAAAAATTAAAAACAAAGTTGGCACATAGTGATAATAGCTTTATCACGAATAGCAACAACGGCAACATTGTGTGTTATCGAATATTATTTAGGCTTCATTTTATCTATGGCTGAATGGCCTGCGCTTGCGATTGCATTCGCGTCACATTTTTATGCCCGACGCCAAAAGAGAGGTATGTGTGTCTGTATGTCCTTTATAATGATGCTGCAAACAGGATAGTCTGCAGGCTACCCAACTCCTCAACTACTTACAGTAGAATTATCGTGTTTCTGTTTATCAAATTGGTCTCGACGAGTTGTTACCTTACGGATGGCGACTGTGTTTTTGGAGGGCACTATTTTGTATCGGGGATTTTTTTAATTTTTACAATATGGCTGATAAGGAATTTATGTACACATTGTTAGTTGCTAGTGCATATATGAAGCAATTAAAAGATGACCTCTCTCTCTCTCACTAAGTGAAACGAAGATTGATGGTAGTCACTTGGAGCGATCATGTACACAGTAAAAGTAGAACTCGCTGTGAACGAGTTCGTCCAACGAAGTAAGAGTTAGAGTAAGAAGTAAGAGTTGTTAACTTTATATCTCAAAGTGATGGGGGCGATGGCAGTGCCCATCAGATCTTTGCGATATAAACTTTGAATGGAACTGCACGGTTACGGGTTAGTTTATCGCCTACCACCAGGCGCACGACTTGTTCGTCCCAACTGTACACCTTTATGTACAATTTATGTTGGCAAATGTATACACATAATACAGAAACATCAACGGTCGCCTCCATCGTAACACTTGTAGCATATTGCGTAATAGTTACATTTTCAACAACAAAATATTCAATGTCAAATTTATCTCGGCGATCGCTAGTCAGTGCACATGCACCGCAATAACATTTTTAACACCTATTTGCCAAACACGGATTTCTTTTGTTGTACCTACCTAATTGAAGCTTCCCGTACGTCATCTTTGCCTGTTACACCGCTACCGCAGTTTATATGTTCTATCCAGTCCGTGTTTTCAAGTAGCAGAAGAACTGAGTTCTTGCAAACTCCTCAACATGACGACGATACTAGTCTGACTTGTCAGGCCAAAATGTATCTTAACCTTCTAAGCTTGTGCAAGATGCCAATGAAAAGGATACATTCTAAGGTTGCCGCCTTTGTCGCCGATGGCCAGCAGCTTCTGGATGGGGTCCCAGGCCAGCGCCGTTGGCGAGAACGGGAATCCATGTCGGAATGTCTGTGGACAAACAGAAAGAAATATGAATTTAACGAAATACCAGAATGGCATCTACTATTTATCGTATTTTTAATAATGAAGGTAATGACCGTTTAATGTTTAAGCACTGGTGCTGTTGTTCATGTTGTCTGAATTCGAAGTCATTTGTAGCACTGAAACGATTTCATGAACAAGATTTGAGTCGAAAACGCTCTGTGAGCTTGATAACAGATTACACGAACTTTGGCTGGAACGTTCAAGGTGCAGCACGTTACACAGGCATTTGCAACACCAAGAGCTAAAAAGAAGAGAGCATGGCAACGAGTCCAGAATGTTGGAAGACTCGTGTAATCTGAATTCATTGTAATAAAATTACATTATTTGGAGAAATAAATATAAAAATAAGTCTTCTACTAAATATGCTATTTTTGAATCCACAATGACTTATGGAACGAGTAATTGTGTATCTAAATATTATAATAATAACATCGATTACCACCCCTTGTAATTACATTGGTAATTATTAAAACAAACCCGTTTTTGTTTTCTTTTAAGTTCTCCTGCAATAGTATTCGTAATTAGCGTAGTCGGTAGGAATAGGAATAGATCATCGTAGGACGTTTGTAACATCGATTTGTACAATATCGCCGCGAGCGATAAAAAAGGTGACTAAGAATCGAGATATCCATTCGCAGAGAACAAAATGTTTAAAAAAGCACATTGAATTATTTTGTATTGCTTATCCCTTTTAATCGTTATTTTCGTGTGGTACACGAAAGGAGCCTCTCCACATCACGACGTACCATTACTTCAATCGGCGAGTACCTGACGCCGGTTGGCAAATCTTTTCATCAAGAAGAACTGACTTTCCCTTTAATTTTCATCCTTTAAATTCCGCACCTTAACTAAAATCACCTTGGTATTTGTTTAAATCAAGTAAGGGGTTTACCTAGGCAAATAGGAGACAAACTAAGGAATTTAGAAAGAATTGTTTAATAAATTTAAAACGCAAACGGTTCACCGAAAATAAAACTAGAATAGGACGGGAATGCGAATGATTAATAACACATTTGGGTAAACAATAATGGTTAAAGATTTTTATGTAATAAGTGCATTCAATGTGTGTCAGGGTTATATGAGCTGGTTTGAACAACGCTCGACAATTAATCTGTGACAGTGGGCACAAAAAACCGAATTCAGAGCTTAGAAATATGACCGCGGGTACGGAAGCATTACCATCCTCTAGCAGTCCACTATTGGACACAGGTCTCTTCCAATGTGCGCTATTTTCGCCCTGTTCTCAGGTTGTTGCATCCATATGCTGCCAGCAGCCTTTCGCAGATTTCGCAGATGTTTGCATCTAGGGCACGATATAAACTTTCAAAGTCATGATACACGATAGTGAGGTTATCCGCAGGTCAATAGAAGACAATATGTCCACGACAGGTGATAGTGAAAGACAAAACAACTTTCGCATATAAAAGAAGCGATATGAGGCGGGATAGTCAGTCTCATTTGGAAACTCATCATCATGAAGTTGTTGGTGCTGTGTGCTGTGCTCGCCGCCGCGGCCGCCTCGGTCGTTAAAGATGACGTTTTTGGTTTCACCATCGCTAAAGACACTTTAGGTAAGGATATCTACTTCTTTAATTAAAGAAAAGCTAATGGTTGAAAAGGTACGTTGAAAAAAGGCTTTAGAAAATATTAAAGTTCTAAGATCCGAGATAATGCTACGCAATGCTAAAATTGGTAAATGTTTTGGGGCTCCCAGAATGTTATAATATAAAATCCGACCGTTGATTGATGTTTCAACTCGGTCTCTATTACGCAACTCACTAGTGTTGTCCGCCTAAGATATTGCGATATAGTTTATAGTCCTTGCCTGTTAAAAAGACAATAATGTAGATTCAGAGGGTGCAGCATGCATGTCTTGTGTACGTTATTGTCATGCAGTGCCAAGCAGAGATCACACACACCTCATCTCTTCAAGGCCCAGATTCTCAGTATGCATATCTCACGTTGTCTTGGATATGCTTGTTTTTTACATTCTTTTTTTAAAAAAGGAAAGCCTAATGTTTCTACGCAATAAGCTTGTAACGCACACGCATGCTGAGGGACTGCGCGATAGGAGTGTCATGGTTAGGAAGTCGATCATGCCTAATCTAAAATATGCAATGAACTACCTCCTCCTGTAAGAGCGGCGGTATCTTTATTGTTATGGACATTGAAAAATAAATGCTCACAATGGCCACTTGACAAGAAATCACGGGATTCAGGGCTCTTATAATTAGTGTCTTGTGTGTTGTTATACTGGTTTTTAGTAATTTGGATTGTAATATTTAGTCGGCAATAGTAGTAGTAGGCAAAACCAAAACAAGACTTGTAATCGGATGTTGAAGCTTTTGTTTAATAATAATGAAACTTTGTGAATAGTGACTGTGGATGTCAAGACTAAGGAGCTATGTGTCTTGAAGCTGCTCAACCACATCATGCAACCGACCATGTACGAGGACGTGCGCGAGGTCGCCCGTGAGTGGACCATCGAAGAGAACCTGGACAAGTACCTGGTTAGCATATCCACCCATTTACGATCTTGTTAAGCTCTCTAATCAAATCATCATACGTCCCAATGCTGCGCACGGGTCTCCTTCAAAGATAATGTTTTGAGTATGTGTGAGGGTGTAGGCTAAGGCTAAATTAAAATTGCTTATTAGTCTTGTAAAAAGGCCAGATTGCAATTAGTTATAGGGTTTCAGTTTCGCTTTATAACAAATAAATAATAAAAAAAAAAGGTTTATCACGCTCGTTCAATGCGGATTAGGGATTTAACATGTTTTGCAAGGGTTGTGAACTTTCTGTGATATGCAACTTTTATCGCAATGTTTTCCTTGACCGTTAGAAAGAAGTGGTGCTACTAAATATTCACAAATGTACGTAACTTAGAAATGAAAGCATAGGCACATGTCATCACAGGGATTCGAAACGTCGACCCGATTGAGATGCAACGCTTCTCTTACTAGTCTACCACCGCGTCACGCTCACGTCACTCAACAATAAAACAATTACGATGAACCATATTCGTTTTTTCGCAGAAAGTCGATGTTGTGAAGGATTTCGTCCACATTTTCAAGATGGGTATGCTCCCCCGCGGCGAAGTATTTGTCCACACCAACGACAAGCACTTGATAGAAGCCATCCGAGTGTTTAAGCTCCTTTACTTTGCCAAAGACTTCGACGTGTTCATTCGTACTGCGTGTTGGCTTCGCGAACGTATCAACCCCGGTATGTTCGTCTACGCCTTCACGTGCGCCATCTTCCACCGCACGGACTGCCGTGGCATCACCGTGCCAGCGCCTTATGAAATCTACCCCTATTTCTTCGTCGACAGCCACATAATTAACAAGGCTTGGATGACTAAGATGACCAAGGCCGCCTTCGACCCCGTCATCATGGACTATTACGGAATCAAAGTCACTGACAAGAACCTTGTAGTTATCGATTGGCGCAAGGGGCTCCGTCACACGTTGAATAAAGAAGACAAACTCGCCTACTTCAGGGAGGATATTGAAATAAACACCTGGATGTACTACCTGCACATGAATTTCCCCTTCTGGATGACCGATGACGTATATGGGTTGAACAAAGAGCGTCGCGGTGAGATCTTGATGTACGCATATCAGCAGTTGCTCGCCCGATACCGCCTGGAGCGTCTCAGTCACGGCATGTGCGACATTAAGATGTTCATGTTCAATAATATACTCAAGGAAGGCTACTGGCCCAAGTTGCGCCTCCACACCGGAGACGAGATGCCCGTTCGCTCAAATAACGTTATGCATTTAACCAAGTACAATATCAAGGAAAAACTCATGATCGAAGACCTGGAAGGCATCATTCGTGAAGGCATCTTAAAGGGCAAAATTGAGCTTGTAAGTCTTTATTGTCTTTTTGGAATTGATGTTATCTGTACCACACGTAACTGTTATGATGTAACAGACATAAAAAATTTAAAATTTTCAGCGCGACGGTACCACCATTAACCTTAAGAAGTCTGAGGATATCGAGTACTTGGCTCGCTTGATCCTCGGCGGTCTGTCCATCACCCACGACGACGCTAAAGTTATTCACCTCGTCACACTTTTCAAAAAGTTTTTGAGTTACGAGCTCTACAATACCAACAAGTAAGTTACAACACACATTAAGAAACCTACACACATCAAAAAAAGTTTGCGATCACTTCGAAAAACTGAAATCTTTTTTGTTACTGTAGATTATATTATGATTTTTTCTTCTTTTTAGATTCTTTATTTAAAAATAAATTAGAACATAAAACAATGACCCCGTTCAATTGTTTTTTCATATAAAAAGGCTTTCAGTCCTTGCTTACGCTCATTCAGAAATCTGATTTAGTCAATTATAAGCGATTCAAGATATTTTTCGCGGAAAGTTGTGATTGAAAAAATGCCAAGAGGATTATCAGAGGTTTTACGAGCTAGAATAGTAACTTTGAGGGAAGAAGGATACACCACGAGAGTAATAGCACGCAGACTTGCTATATCCCAATCCTGTGTCGTGGCTATGTTGCAGAGGTATCACGGAATGGGGAATTTAGCTGACCGACCCCGCAGCGGTCGCCCAACTGTTTTGACAGCTGCCCAAAAGCGCTATATTAGATTGCTGGCAGCCCGTGATCCAACAATCAACGCCACTAAAATAAAAGCAGAAGTCAGGGCCGCCTCTGGGCTTGAAGTTAGCACGCAGACCGTTCGCAATTGTTTGTACCAGGCTGGATTACGAGCACGGAGGTCTTGGCGAGCTCCGCTCAATTCCCGGCAACGTCAACAACGAAGATTGCAGTGGGCTAGACTTCGGCAAAATGAAGAAGGTGAGGACGAAAACATTTGGCAAAACTGTCTCTTCGTTGACGAATCCCGAATCAGCACTCATCCAGATAACCGACGTGTCCGTGTCTGGAGAAGACCAGGCGACCGTGAAAGACAAAGAACTGCCACTGGAACAGTTCAGCAAGGCGGAAAATCGGTGTCCTTTTGGGGTGGCATTATGATTGGAGCTAGAACGCCTTTGATCCCGTATCGGGGCTTCATGACAGCAGACATGTACAAAGCAGTTGCTATTGATGATATCGTCAGACCATTCCGAGTAAACCATGGGCACCAATTTTTACTGGTCGATGATAATGCGCCCGCACATCGAGCTCAACGAGTCAATGCTGCTCTTCAAGAATACGATATCACACGATTAGACTGGCCTGCCGGCTCGCCCGACTTAAACCCAATAGAGCACGCGTGGGATGCTCTTAAACGAGCAGTATAGAACTGTGAGCCACGTCCCCAGACAGTTCCAGAGCTCAGGGAAGCCGCTATTGAAGAATGGGATAGGTTACCCCAGGAAATGCTGGATAACTTGATCCTCAGCATGCCCAGGAGGATCTTCGCATGTATTCGAGCCAGGGGAGGAGTTATTTTATATTGAATTCACACCTTTTAATAATAAATTGTTGTTTAAGTTTAATTAAACAGTCTTTTTCTTTCTATGAAATTTCTATCACTATTACATTATGATTAATGGCTCAATTTTTTAAAATAAATAATAAAAAATAGTTTTATATTTTAATTTCAAACAGGGTATTCCTATTTAAAGAAAGCATACAACATAGATTTTATCTTGATAAAGTTAAAGTTAAAGAATTATAGGAGCTTATGCTATTGATCGCAAACTTTTTTTGATGTGTGTATATCTCCTGTAAATTACCTTCTTGTTTATGTATTTCTGACGCTTACTGTATGTATATTACAGGTACACCTACATCCCCACTGTTCTGGACATGTACATGACTTGCCTGCGTGACCCAGTCTTCTGGAAAGTAATGAAGCGCATCACTGACTACTTCGTCTTATTCAAGAAACTGTTGCCTATGTATACACGCGAGGAGTTTGACTTCCCCGGAGTGAAGATCGAATCTATCACTACCGACAAGCTGGTGACTTTCATCGATGAGTATGACATGGACATTACCAATGCTATGTTCCTTGACGAAACTGAGATTAAGAAGATGCATTCCGACCGACTATACGTTGGCCGCATGCGCCGCCTTAACAATCACCCTTTCAAGTTCAACATAGACGTCGTATCCGACAAGACCGTCGATGCCGTCGTGCGCGTATTCCTCGGACCCAAATTCGACTGCATGGGCCGACTCATGAGCGTTAACGACAAGCGCATGGATATGGTAGAGATTGACAACTTCGTGTACAAACTAGAGACTGGCAAGAACACCATAGTGCGCGATTCCAAGGAAATGCACAATATGTTCATGAACAGGCCATGGACGCGTACCATCTGGGATAAGGCTTTCGATACCAACATCATCAAGAACGACAAGATGGTCGACAACTGGTGGTTCAAAAGTCGCATTGGCTTTACAACTCGCATGTTGTTGCCGCTCGGTAAAAAGGGTGGTTTGGATATGCAGCTATACGTCATCGTGACGCCCGTGCGCACTGGATTGTTGCTCCCCACCGTTGACATGACAATGATGAGGGACCGTCGCGTTTGTTACTGGACCGTTTGCGTTGACACCATGCCTCTTGGTTTCCCCTTTGACAGGGAAATCGATTTGACTCGTTTCTTCACCAGCAACATGAAGTTCCATGACGTGAAGATCTACAGGAAGGATATGAACTTGGCCAACAACATCAAGGACATGGATATGACCGACATGGTGATGAAGCGCGACGACCTCACCTACTTGGATACGGACATGCTCGTCAACTGGTCCTACAGGGATGTCATGATGATGAGCATCGACCACATGACGCGTATGTAAGGAGTAGATGTAAATAATTGATGATGAGGAGAATAAATGCATTTAATTAAAAGTGTTAATTTCTTTTATTCGCTTTAACGCTTGCTTTGAATATTAAATACATAAAAAATAAACATAAGTCAATAAATAGCTCTTAAGACGTAGCCATTGTTAACCTCATACAAAATATAGAACGTTCCAAACAAAATAAATTAGTTTCAAACAAAAGTTGTGTACACAGTATCTAAGTCTGGAGAGGCACTGATGGGCGTTGGTAAATATTTGAAGTTCGCAATGGCTTAAAACAAACGCAAACAACTTGTGATTGTCTGGAATTCGCCAAACGTTTGGCTCTTTGATCCCTTTGAGACCTAGGCCTTTTCTCTGCGTTTCGTCAACCTTTGCAGGTAAGACTTTGAAATATCAAAGTAGATATATAGAATAGAAATATCAAAGGCTTCCTTAGTGTTTGCTTTAAAACACTTGAATAAACTTTAACAAACTAGAACGCAATACAAAATGCAGAACTTTTTCTAGCTAATTTTAACAATATGCGACGGGAGAAGGAAAAGCTATTTTTCGTAACATAACGAAAAACATGGACTGTAGTACCTTAGAACAATAAACAGCAGTAGAGCTCCTTGTTTTCACAAGGAGTTCTAGTGAGTTCGTCCAGGAAAGTACTGCCACCTTACCAATTTCTGCCTCCAAGCAGTAGCGTGAGCATTACTGCGTTCCAGTTATGAAGGGTACGGGTGCTGGTGAAATTACAGGCAAATGGGACTTGTCAACTTACATATGTCTCAGGGTGTAAGATGCAGTGGCAGTGCCCCTCAGATCTTTGTAATTTAAAGCTCTGAGTGGTACTGCTGCCTTGCAGTACCCTAACTAGTCATATGATCACATAATATATATTAAGTAAGATCTTTTATATATATTCATATTTATATTCATTGCCATCATATATTTACGATGGCAATGAATATAAACATGAATTCAGCAAGGAGAACAGAGGCACAACGAGAAGTCTATTGAATCCCTCGGGAACACTAAACATTTATCCTCAATTTCCAGTCAAAACAAAATCAAAAATTCAAGACTGTTATCGATTACAAAGTAATTCGCGGCCTCAGTCGCTCATTTGCAACCATTATTCATAATGGGGTGAGAGGGCCAGGGGGGAGTTAAGGTCCATTACACGATTTACGATACATTCAACCACATCGGTCCCCTCTACCCTATATCCCCTCAAAGTCCCGTGCTGACCGGAAAACAAATTTAATTAAAACGTCTTCTTAAAAATCGACATTCAGCGTCGAGAGAGGATGATCGTTTGTGGTGTCTAACTAATTTCGATGTTCTACACCATTGTATTGTAAGAGGACAACATAAGATATTGGGAATTACATGAGTGTTAACGTGAAAATATTGGCTTCCGAATGTCTTAAAGTTAAAATCGAGTCTGAAATTCGTTTTCAATTATCCCATGTTATGAATGCTTTCAGAGGATAATGATTAGTTTCCTATGTTGATAAAAGTATTCGCGTAAACGTGGTTTCATCTATATCTCAATTCAGAATGTAGAAAAATAAAATTGTTTGCTGTTTGTGCACGACGTTATGTAACTTTGTATCATATAGCTCATTCGGTGGTAGTCGATTCTCGTACCTACTTTGAACTGCACAAAGGTCCATTTCACTATCGGTGAATTTTGAAAGATTTTTCTGAAATCTTGTCTGTTTGACGACATATTTGACAGTGCTGATATTTGCGAGTATTAGCTAATCATCATCACCAATTCATTATTCGTCCAATCGACCATTACATAAATAAAGCTACAAATCCTGACTCACTTAGAAAAATAGAACGCATACTTCCCGATGTGGCGGAAAAAAGATATTTATACCGTTATACGCCGATAGGCTCCAAGGCAAAGAATCAAATATGAGAAGACCTGAATGTAGAAAATGTAAACGAGTGATCAACGGTCTGCAAAAACTATAACACATGGGGGGGATTTTTGTGCACTTTTATGAAATAAAACTTGGTCAATTTCTACAGAAAGTAAAAAATGTTCGAAATTCAAATAAACAAGATGGCCGCCATACAAATTTCGAAGCCTTCTATCACGGAAACTATTAGAGAGGTATGAGGTGCTGGAAGGAATGTCATAGAGGGTAATACTGGTTAACAGCCTGTGTAAAAAAAAATCAAGATAGCGAATCCAAAATGGCGGCCGAAGAAACACTTGCTTCGATGCGGCTGAAAATTGGCATGCCGGGGTCTTTAGGAGTCATTAATCATAATTTGGGGTCAAAAGTTTTTTCCGCCATTTTTTAATATGGCTGCCATATAAGTGATTTTTTTCGTTAAAAATAGCTGCCGTAAGAGACTCGCTCTGTTTCAGCAGAAAATTGGCATGAGGAGGCCTCTAGAAGTGCAAAATAATAATTTGTGCTCGAAATTGGTTTTTCGCAATTTTCAAACATGGCCGCCATACAAGCGTTTGTTGGCAGTAGAAAAAAAATTGTTCTGATCCCTCCCAAAATAGTCATGTGGGAGTCTCTTGGAGGGAGGAGTGCTTGATAATAATTTGTAAGCAACATTAATTTTTCGCCATTTTTCAATATGACTGCCATAGAAGAATTTTTTGGCAGTAGATGAAAATTTGCTCTAATTCACTTGAAAACCGGGGGTGAATACGAGTGTTTAATAATAACTTCCGGTCAAAATTTATTTTTCGCCATTTTTCAGTATGGCTTCCTTACAAACTTTTTTAGCGGTTGATAAAATTTTGCTGTAATTGTACTGAAAATCGCCATGAGGGGTTCTCTATGGGTGTTTGTTTAATAATAATTTGCAGTCAAAATTGACTTTTTGCCATTTATTAATGTAGCCGCTATTAAAGAGCTATGTTAATTATTTTAACGTCATAAATGCTGAGACCGTAGGTCGAGGTCTAGCGGAAGGCGAAGCCCGAAGTGTCCCGCACCCCACCTTACGTAGGTAGTATACGGGGACTAGATTTCACAATTGCTCAAAATGTAAGGCATACTTCCCGATGTAGTGGAAATAATATCTTTTTTACTTATACAACTTATAGCGTTGTTGTATCTCGACCGTCTCTCTGTTAGATTCTTTTTTATTAGAAGCTATGCCAAAAAGAGAAGTATTTAGGGAAAAAATGCCAGACAATCACTTCAAATTTCTGGTCTCAAACTAGGGAATTTCCTGTACTATGAGTACCAGAGTAACGATAATTTAAAACAGGACCAACTTAAAAATGTTTTTTTCATAAATTGGCTCAAATAAGGGATCGAATCTGGAACCTCCTCATCAAGCGCCCATAGTACTAATCACTGTGCCACCGAAGAGCATAAGCACACCCCATAAACTGAAAGCGACAACGCGCCGCAGGCCGAGTCCGACCCCACCGTAGGTGGTAGTGGTGGTAGGACGTATAATACTGTATTAAAAATGTACCAGTTCGTAAAGCTAAGACCTTGGAAAGTTTTCCATTCTATATTTTGCGACGGTTGCATTCTTTTCAGGGGTCGCGTGTTTAATATCTGATCACAAATTGTGTTTCACCGAATTTAATTTGGCATAGTTAGACGCAAAGCCGACAGTTTAATTTTGAAAAGAAATAAAGTTTCAGGACTACATTTATTATTTTAGTATTTGTGTAAGTGTCAGTAGACACTTACACAAATTGAAGTGTTGTCAAAAAGTTGATGGCAAAAAAGCGCGGCTACCTTTTTTAACAAACTTAACAACAATTTATTTTTCATCTCTTTAATTTTGCTAACAAAGAAACAAATATTTTTTCGAAAACCTCCCGGGAATATAAAACTTCACTGGACGATTGGCTGAAAACATTAACGTTTGATGCCTGTTACAATTTTAAGTAATTAATAGATTAAATCGTGCAAAATAGCTGCGCTAGTGTTGCATATTTTTTTATGCAGTAAATTTTGCACGATTTAACCTTCACTGGTTTCGCGGAGTAGCAAATTAATTTACTTCCATTTTTGTTACCATTTTCTTGCGTATTACGTCAAATAGGTCTTCCGATCAGTCCATTCGCATAACACAATGTATCTGCAATATCCGTGAAGCAATCCCTCCGTCAACTTTATCGCGTATGACATGTCTTGTGGAAATCTATCAATTTCCGATATCGCTCGTTCGGCTTCCAGCGCCGTTAGACAGATAAACACCAATTATTATTAGCAGACGTCCGGCAACTGACACGTCAGTTAGCTGACAAATCCACTATTTGTTGACTCGTTGACATTACAGTTATTTCCGTAGTTGACATGTCCGCTGCAGAAATGGACTGTGGAAACATTTTACAGGCCGGGATGTTGTCTGATGTTGACATTTAAAAATTACAGTTATTAATTCTAACTAAATGACCAGTAGATTTTTTTGTGCTGCCGTTATTGATCCGCATCGTGCTACCCTCGAAGGTGATTATTGAAAACCAGTGTTTTGCTTTTGAATAAAACTCGCACTGAGCTAGGACCCATTTGGCTAGCAGCAGCCATATCCGTTCTTGTTCTGTCATTTTTCAGTTGGGTAAAAGCGGTTTCTTATGTAGATTATATTAATTTAATTTCTTTGTTTCTTTTCTTTTCTTTGTTTTCATTGTTAATTTTAATTTATATTTTGTGTCTGTTTTGCTTTTTCTATTATTTCATATTATTGTGCGTGCTTGTAGGAAGATGAAAAAAAAGCTATCTATATGGAGGTATATCAAGTTCCATCTCAATTTCAAGTAATTAATTTTTGAAGATGAAATTAAGCAACCAAGTTTAAAGTGGCAGTTACCGCATGACACTCGCCACGTAAAAGTAATCAAGTTTAGCTATTTTAAAACTCTTTCCGTTCTAGTGCTTGCGGGTTTAGGAAATTGTATAACAATCTCTTTATTCATTTAGTGGAGTTTGTGTAACGGCGCGATTGTTTGTTTAAATAATATCTTGTCCACAGACATATCTAGATAGACGCCGCAAGTACAGCAATTTGTATGAAAACCAAGCGTTCCACATTTTTTGTACCCACTATGAC